CGCATAAACTGCAGATTTGTCCATGGGAAGAGTGCGGAAGAATGGACACCCTCTCAATGTAATAGGCCTACAGCCCTTTTTTCACGTCTTTTTTTTCCTTTTATGTTGGCAATTCTGCACAAACCAAAGGTCGTATGGCGCAATCTGGGTAACCAAGGTGGACACACAATGGCGCAATTTTGGTTAGCAACTTTAGACAAAAAACGCAGATGTAAGCGTAGTGCAGCATGCACCGTCCTTGACCAACCGTAGAGCCGTGGGAAGGTTCATGGATTTACCATTTTTTCCCACTTGAATGGCAACAATAAGTCACATCGCGTCGCAATACGTTTGTTGGATAGGCCATATTTTAACCGAGATATTATTTTAGGCTCTGCCAGGAATGAAGAACTTTATGACATTTTTTTTCCTTTTTTCTTTTCTATTATCTCTTTCTCTCACCCAAGTTTCCTTGCGGCACACAACCCAAGAAGAGCGGTGACTACACGGCGATCATCATCAGTTGCTCTGTTGCTGGGGGCGTGGTTGGCCTTGGTAGCCACGGTTGTTGCCATAACGGTGATAAAATACAGAAAGAGACGAGAGTATGCACGCTTACTTTGTTCACCGACTGCGGTACAGTAGCGCCAGAAATAAAAGTAAAGCCGTCCTATCGACCAACTCACATGGACCGATTTCAAAATAACACTGCTACACTACGGTAAAAACTCTGGTGTTAAAATCAACACTTTTTGTTGTTATCATATGACTAAATCATAGGGTGTTACTTTAACAAAGCTGGTGTTACTGTGTACACCTATAAGTGTTACAATGCACTGGAGGGTGTTCAAAGTAACACCCTTTTTAAAACAATTGAAAAGTGTTGGTGCAGTCCTCTGATAGCACCGGGGATGTTCAATTTAACACTTCAGTTTTTGCAGTGAAGTGGCGTACAGGTTTTACAACTATCAATCGGGAACTATAATAACAAATATTGTAATACATAATTCTTTAAATAAAATAAATAATGAAAGATGCTTCCTCATGACGATTATAGATAACGAAATCCCAATAATTTCAATATTTCTTAAAATCAATTTCAAGATATTTTGAACTCATATTCAAGATATCTTCAAATAATTTTAAGACATCTCTAAATTTATTTCAAAATATCTTTACATGCATTTCCTTAAAATCGTTTTCAAGATATCTTTCAGTCGATTTCAAGATATCTTGATCGTTTACAAGATATCTTTAAATCATTTTCAAGATATCTCTCAATAAATTCGAGATCTCCAAATCATTAACCAGTGTAAACTCAGTGTTACACTGAGGCTTTCCTCCCGGGACGACATCACAGTTGTGCTCATGAATATGTGTATACTCGTTAGCCCGAAAACAAAAAAAGTCAACGAAACACCCTTTGGAAATAGTGAAAAAAAAGTTGGAAGTGAAGTTAATTGAGACATAAAGGTACATTCTCGAGACCTAGACTTTGACCCGCCAGCCTTAACAGTATAGTCCACTAATTCAAGCCCCATTGAAAACAGTGTCAAATAATCACTGTTCAGGGCCCAATAACATGCACGCCAGCATCCCTGGGATTTCTTAAACACAAATTAAATTACTGTCTGGTCACTAGTCTTTCGATTTCTTTTCAATTTTTGAGGGTCATCCAATTGCATTTTTAATTATTTCCACAAAACAAAACCACCAACCGAAAAGGGATTTTTCCGAAGACGGATTGCAGCCATTTTTCAAGTGGCAACCCTCAACTTTCTTGGGCACTTTTTACAACCGTAGTGTTAGCCATTCTCTCATATGAAAGCTCAAAGACCCAAGGAGTTGATCCTGGCAACGATTTACACAGTCTCACCATTTTGGGGGCCAAACAATGTCCCTTTTCAAAAAATACTGTGAGTGGCACTTTTAAGGCCAGAAATTCTCATCTGGACTGCACCCTTTAGACCATAGCAAGTCTTAACCCACAAGGTCAAGACCGTGCAGAGTAAAGATAAAAGCGGTCTCATCATGACCTAATTCTCGTCGAATTGGCAGGTATTTCCAATGTTGGCCAATTAGTCATCTTATTACAGTGGTATAAACTCATGATCGGTGGTAGGTAGAATGAGTATTGTATGACATGTTCAAGATAAGATCACGGCGTGGAAAGTGAGATGATTCTAATTAGCATATTATAACATCGGTTCCGAACACAGCATTCTCAGAGACTAGATCACCGGTCCACACCATAGTTCAGAGTAATGATGTTCTACAATCCCGGCAAAAATTGATGAGACAAGCGTCGATAACTGCACCCTTCCCAGGTCGCACAGACCAGGAGATACTACATTGAGAGGAGATGGGGGGAGGGAGGTCTGGTCTCAACCACACGACCTCTGTTTGTCACTGGGATACACCCCTCAACCACACCGAAGGCCACCTTATCGTACTCCGAGGGCGCCTTGTAGCTGCGGTATTATTATCACCAGTTTGGCCAACAAGAGAAACAAGTACAATGACGGAGGAGAAATATAGAAAATACACGTACAAAAATGAGAATGGGGAGTGTAGGGTGTGGAGGAAGGTGGGGAGGACGGAGGGGGTGAGGGTGCGGCAGGAGTGTGGTTGTACTTGTACATCATGTACAAAATACGAGTATATTGTAGATGTTTAATTTGGCTTTGGGCTTGACTTACTTTGACATGTCACATCAGCTACTTTGCTGCATAATGTTCATACCAAAACCATGTACTTATGCTTTCAGCCATATTTTTTTTTATGGGCAGGGTATATAACAATTTACTCATGATTCATTTTTGTCTTTTAGTAAACATAATATCAACAAGTCCAATTCTCACTTTAGTAAGAAAAAACACCTGTTAAACAATGGAAATTATCACTTATTCAACCACTCTTTGTGGAGATGTTTAGGTTAAACTTTTCCCCAAATGCGTTCGGCAAAACTGACTTTTAGTAGTTGCGCACCATCTACACTTCCAGCATTTCGCAATGTTTTCACGTACATGGCTATTAAAATTTATATGCACTTTGGTTCCACACAGGTACCATTTATGACAGTGATTTCTTGGGATATTGAAAGCTCCAAAAATAGAAATTCCACTAATCTATTTCCACTGATTGTAATTTATCTTTCTTTTGTGCACATTACCTGTTTTGATGTGTCGGGCTTGCCCATGCATGATAGGAGTGTATGTTAAAATTTCATTATACGCGTGCGTAAACTTGCGCAATACTATAACATATTCGCAGTAGACTGTAACTTCATTCTTTATAGAAATACGCATAATCCTTCAATAATACAATTCTGTATTTTCCTTCTCTTGCTTTTTTTATCATGTGCTGCCGTGTCAGTTGAATTCAAATTGAGAGTAACCTAATGTTGATATCGATCAATTCCACATATCTGCAACCCATATGAACATGTACTTGTATAATGTATTTAATAACCACATTAACCTTACACATTGGGGAAAAAGAAGATCTGATGTTCCAAAATACTTTCTTGAGAGGTTTATGCCGAAGTTGAAATTATTAAGTGGAAGTTAACAACTATGCACGGCATATTTTGATTTGTATTCATTATGACATCAAATTTAATTCTTTCCTGTAATTGACTCTCACCTAAATCAATTGTAAAGAATAACAGGCTTGTGGCAACACAGCAAAACACATTATAGAATAAAGTCACTAAGGAATACTGATGGAGAACAGAGAAGAAGGGAAAGAGCGTCATTAACTAATGCAAACAATAACTAAGAACTTGTACTCGGTGAATAAAAGTAGGGGTGTTGCGCCACTAAAACCACACAGCCTTGGGAGTCATGCAACATATCAGTCGAGCCGAAGGCATTTACCGGTTAGAATTGGCCACTTGAGAACACTTCACCTTATAGCCAACCGATAATCAAGGTATTGGTCAGACTGTTCTGTCGGACACCTATCCAATAGGAATTTTGAGACGTTGCCTTTATATTGCATTATTTGGCAATAAAAATTATTTTTGCATAGTTCAAATTGACACTAACGGGCTTCCGTTCCTTTTGATGAAAAACCCTAAAATCATTTGGTTAAATCTCGTACGATAGCCCTCATTATACATGGCGTCAAACCTCTGTGAACAATTCCACTGTCATAAAAGTTTGTCTGAAATTCAGACATGTCGGCGTCGGGAAATTGGGCATTAATTCAGCTGAGTGTTCCCTAACAAGGTGCACTTGAAAAAATCGCAGAAAATCCTACATAAACATTTTTCGAAATTCTTTAAAGTTGATCAATTCTTGTAAAGAAATATTCCTTCCACGCACATACCCATCCATAAGTTTGTCAGAAAATTATTTTCGTAGTTTTAGGCACAGTCCTTTGTAGCATGTACATACTATCGCAATTTACGAATCAGAATATTGATAGTTTGATGAAGTTTATTAGCTGTGGAATTTGAGATAAAAACATTGCTCCGGTAAGGCACGAGAGGCGAAAAGTGAAAGCGCGCCACGTTAGGGGCCACTCCACGTTAGGGCACATCAACGAAACATGTACACCGAACCTAGGTCACTTAGGGTATTCCGTTTACAAGTCATGTATACGAACAAGCAAACTTTGCGCGCTATTGCTGTGACTTTGTTCGTTTCCTAGCATGCCATGCCTTGGTAGCAAATGAACCTCGGTTTCAAAAATGAAGTTCTCGTGAACTAAACGTTTTACTGAGGTCTTCGTCTTCATTCCGAATCATTATTTACGCCCACATGTAGGAATTCACTAAGTAATAGTTGAGATTTGGTCGATATGCAAAGTCATCCAGTCGGGAAGAGAACAAAATCTAGCAAAAAATGGCAACAAATCTGAAACCTTCATGCAGCTTTCTATTACATCATACTCTTGAAAACTTCCAGTTGACTTCGAATCTTTTGTTTTAGGCCTGTAAAAATCAAGTCAAACGAAAACAAACTTTCAACGAAAAGAACTTTAAGCGGAAATCGAAAGTTTGCACAATCTGTCAATGTATCTCGATTTTTATTCAATAAATGAGTTAGGTATTGGAAAAATCCTACCATGAATATCTTGAAGTGTGGTCTCCAAAAAGTGCAAAAAGGACGTGTTTTAAAGGCCCTTTCTCGAAAGAGCCGGGGCGTGTTTCGGCGACCCAGACCATAACCTTGTTTAAATTTTGGTCAGTAACCTCAACCTCACCATAATTGATTTCCCCATACATCGACGAATTAGACAATCGGAGCCCACCGGTTTCACAATGGTGATCGGCTTTAGGAGTGTTTTTCGGAATTATCATTTCTAAAGAGAATGTCCAAACGTCTACGATTGTGCTGGTGGAAATGAAACGAAAAGATGAGTACCGGTAATAAGCTTTGATTTGTTTTGTCTTCAACACCTGAAAAACTTCTGGGTAGTTTTTCCAGATTATTTTAATTGAATGAGAGTACTCACCACTGTTGTATAATAATGGCAGCTTAGGTTGCTCTGCAGGTTAAAGATTTTACAGGAGTCGCTAGGAATCTTAAGGTCAAGGAGTCACGATATTCATATTAAATCTCTACTGGAGAAGAACCTTAAAATATTTAGAATCTACCGAAATTTCGTAGAGGAATACAATACCTGAAATAACTTTCAATGCCAAAAAAATCTAAAACACTGTCTTCAATTGATAGAAACATCAAAAACATCTAAAGAGCTATAAGCATAAGCACCTTTCCCAAACACCAACATGTTTTGTTTTTTTTAAATCTAACCTTCTCTTGCCAAAAGGGACTACAATATTGTGGAGTATTTGTGGGAAGCAAGTATTCTGAACGTTTTAATAACTTTCTTGAGATCCCGACTCCTTATTTTCAGAAAAACAGGTTTTTCAACGTTCCTTCACTCTGTTTCAATTTCTCAGTTACCCAGTCACTAATAATGTCCCATTTGATAATAATGAATTAATAATGAGCTTTCTTTTTGTTGCTCAAACTGTCACTTCCATCTCGTCCTTACCGAGGGTAGCATACTTGACGGTCCTAGAGGTGGCGTTGACTTCGGCCAGGCACACCACTCCTCCCATGGTGGTGCCGTGGTGGCGGTGAACTTCCGCCGCCTCCTCTCGATGTTGGGTCAGAGCCGGGCCCCAGGAGTCTAGTGGAGAAGTGATGTTACGGAAGCGCTAGCCAAGGAGGGATGGAACGAAAACCAAGTACTGAATGAATCCTAAATGTGTTGTTTGTGATAGAGATACGGCAAGAAGTTTTAGTGGTAATCATGCATGTCATCATCATCATGGTATTTTCGAGCAATGTGGTGATTTTCACCCTCTGTTCTTTTTTGTTTGTTTGTTTTTGTTTCTTTTCCTTTTTGTTTGTATACTCGCAGTGTCTGCAATCTCCATTATCTGTCATCTTAATTAGCCAAGGTGAGCACAAATTGACAAGTAGGCCTACGTAGGCCTAGTTCATAAGAAACTTCTAAAACCAAACGACCCCCTGTCAGTTTTGAATCTATAGGCCCCGGGCTTGACCAGAAGAAGGCGCAAGTTTCCTAGCAACGGCGGCTCCTTTGGTAGGAATTTCACTTAGCTGGTTCACGAACGACTATGAATGAATGCAAGTTGCATGCGCGTCGCTACCAACAAAACGAAAAATTCTGACCAGCACGGCTCTTTTCAACTTATAAGGGGGTGCTTCTGCTCATGGTGAATAGGAAATTATATACTCAGTATATAGGCCCGATAAAAACAACAATGGGCTCACAAGCTTTCATCTGTATAAATAAGCCGTAGTGGCCACATTATCGTTAGAAGATGTTGGATATGGTTCAGTTTCCCATGCCCTTCTATGTCCACTGCCTCCCACAAGTTTACTGTTTAACAAACTTATAATCTTTATTGACCAATGAAACACGAGGCGACTAACACTTGTGAGTAAAGCCAGACGGGTTTTGAGAAGCACTCTCTTTCAATTTCCGATTTGGGGGAAGCGTCAAGCTAGGTGAGACACACTTCATAGGAACACTAAACATAACTGTATATTATTGTTATAGCTTTGCATCAACATCAAATGCAAAGTCTGAGTGCCTGCCACATGTCCGAGAATACCAGTGCCCTGGTTGGAGTGTAGGGCTTACACAGCACAGGTGTCTAGGGCTTATGGAACACTTAATCTAGTATTTCATGTTCTTTACCTCCATGAAACTGCCCTTCCTTCTGAGCAGCTCAAAGACCACATGTCCCGGAATACCAATGAGCGTGGTGATCATAATCATCCAGCCGAGCGCTCTGGCCCAGGGCGGGTACGATCCGTTGTACTCGGGCTCGGTCCAGCTCACCCAGTTGAACACCAAAATAACCTGCCCACAAAAGGAACAAATGATGTCGTAGAGTCTTTATACTCTAATTTCTTACAACAACCCTTTTAAGGCATTTGTGTATTTCCATTAGGCTTTTCTCAATTTTCATTTTGCTATTTAAAAAGTATGTCGGTGCCTGTTTGGTTTATAAGACATTATATGTTTCGTTTTGCAAATCACACACATACCAGGAGCTCAATTTATTTGGGCGAACTTTCTCAAAAGCAAATGATTTTATGAGATTCCTACAGCAGTTGTATCCAGGTGAATTAACTTTTGTTCCAGGAAAAGTTGGGCGACTCAAGGAGGATAGAACCCCTCCTCAGACACCCATGGATTTTATTGGATGGACGAACTTACCCCCATGGACAGCGGAGTCAGGACCACCCAGTTCAGCGTCCACCACTTGAAATGCAGCGTGTCCACGTACCGGTCCCCAATCATGGTGCGGATGTCGTTAATGAAGCGTCGTACGCCGTAGCCCCAGCTCAGGCCACCGGTGATGAGGAATGCGAAGAGCACCATCGCAAAGTTTGCGCCGTAATTGTCCAAGAGAGACATCCAGTAGGGCCCGGCCTGTCGGACGGAAAGCAGCTCAGTTGGAATTTCAGTACTTCTACTATGGAAGGTAATAATATGAGAAGAAATGTCACTTTGCTAATATAACCCACCCCCCATGATGGGTCACTGGATAACCTGTCACGAGCCTTGCCGGAGGGGGAAAATATCTTTAGATAATCGATAAGTGGCTTGCCCCCTCCCCCTGGAAAAATCCTGGCGACGCCCATGTAACCTCTTTCAGCTAATTCAAGCACAATACACCCGTGCCAATGGTTAAGGGTTTAGGAGCCATCTACAGAACCAAATAATTACACTCTACTGGGGAAGCTGTACTGTTTGGCTTTCTCTTAACAGTCTCCCATTCAGTAGTCTGGTGATCTCAACATCGTTAGATTTTTTGATATCTTGCATGGTTACATACTTCAGTTATGCAAATCAAACTGCTCAGAACCAGCACCACACAGATTCCCAGAGTGACAAAGCTCTTGCGCCGAGGTGGAAAGAGCCTGGGGTATTCGTCCACTAAGCTCGTCGCCAACCTTTCAATACCTACAAACTAGATAGAAAATGAAGTGGATTTTGGTGGTCCCAGTCTCTGACACACTTTCCCCTCTTCTCATCACTCAAGCTAAAGTTACCTTCACTATCTCAGATCCTTCACAATCATTCAAAATCCTGCAGGTTCTAGGATAATACAGTCTACTGGCTTTAAACAAGTCTTCATTTTCCATGAAACTGAAGTGCAAGGAATAATGCCACAATAGGTCGATGTACAATCGCACAATAAAAAATTAAATTTCACCCCAAATGTCACTGAAATAAACAGCTGAGGTTAGCCTCTAAACTAATAATATCAAATTGTTAAGAAGATAAAAAAGGAAAGATGAGTTTTAAACTGAAAGATTAGTAAAGGTTGTAGATGTCATAAAACACATATACCAAGCCATAAAAAATTGTACCTCCATTTAAAATAAAACAGATAAATACCTGGGTATCCAGGCCCAGTGTAATGAGCATGAAGAAGAAGAGAATCGACCAGAAAGGAGAAGCTGGCATTCTGGCAACTGCCTCTGGGTAGGCGACAAACGCCAGGCCAAACCCTGAAAGTACCAACAATACAAATGGCCAAACACTGGTGAAAAGACTCGGAGGAAAAATGGGAACGTCTATTCAACGAAAAAAGACCAGAAAACTGTCAGGGAAAAAGTAAGTTAAGTGTTGTTTTTGAGCAAGAGTATCACGTGTTTTCTTCGCGCATCTCAGTTATATTTCCAGGATTCGCATACCTTGCCTGACAACCTCAGAGACTTCTTTACCCTGGACATGGGCCATGTATCCCAGGATGGAGAAGATAGCAAACCCGGCCAAGATACTGGTTGCCGAGTTCAGAATGCTGACAATCATCAAATCCCTGCAGCAGAAATATAGACAGATCAGTCAGAATGATACTTTCCAGCCTGGAAAAAATTTAAGTTTCTTTTTACAGTGCCTCGAAAATAAAAGTGGAAATCCATCCAGGTGGTTTGGCAATTCTGTTGAAGTGCTTTGTTGTAAATTGCGCACAATGAAAGAAAGAACCCGGACGTCCATCTGGGTGCCTGGATCAGCTTGGTTAAAAGGCCAAAACTTCCAAAACAAAAAAGGGCAATAAAATATCCAAGACCCCAAAATTAAAGGTGGGATACAAAACTCTTACTTCTGGTATTCTAAAAATGTTCCAATCCTTGATACATTTTCTCAAAATGAATGATTATTTTCACCTGTATGTGTTGTTGTGGAACTTGTTGTAGGACGCCAGTGTTTGTAAACCGCCGGTAGCAACGCTCAGGGAATAGAAGATCTGCACCACTGCATCCAACCAAACCTGAGCAGAAAAAAAAGCAACACCACCACTAACGCAGTTGAACGTCTGTCCTTCATTTTGATTGCCAATCAAACTAAAGAACTTGCACAACACCGCTGTTTCGGCACGGAAAAGAGGTTGTGCGTATGCGCAAGATTTGCGCCATTTAAGTGCGCCCTCTTGTGGTAAAAAGTACTATGAATATTAATGAGCTGAAAGGATCACCTTTTAATTAAATCCTTTTTGAGAGGCACTGTGTTAATGAATATTTTTAGAATACGGCTTATTAAAAACACAAAATTGGCCTTTTGATTGTCAGTGCGTTCGGCCATTTTGGTTGCCGGACACGCGTGAGAAGAGTGTCTAAAAGTTAACGTCTGTTGGTGATTGATCGACGATTACGGGATTTTTGACCGTTGTTAAAGCTTCAAAAGTATTGCTCCTAGAGTTTTGCCAGTCTTGGCTTGACATCCAGCTTGAAGAATGGACCTTTTACAATCTATTTGCGCTCTGTGAACTGTGCAAACCGAACGGTACGCATTTGCAAGGCATTACACGACACGCTGATTTTTGCATTGATACACTACATCTTGAAGGAATATCCACGAGAGCTCTACGTGCGTGATTGTTTCATGGGTGCCCTCACCGTGAAGAAGTTGCTCCGAAGTACATGCCGTCAGGTACCTATCTTCAAATAGCATTATTTTTAACAAATTTGACAAAGATAAACATATACACGACAAATATGCCTGTGTGTTTACTCCATTGCACAGTACACATACGTTCATTTATAAATATGTCGGTTTTGGGTTTATAGATCATGTTATTATTATTTGCAAACCGTGCTTACAACATAGCTAAGGCTATGCATGCCTCTACACATCAAAGTTACTGCATGGTTCAGAATATCTCTTGATATCTTCTTATCAACAGGTGCTGAACTTTGTGGATTACTGCAGTCATGTCTTTCTGCATTTTTGAGCCAACTGCTTTGGTTGCATTTATTGCACTTGACCCTCCCATTCATGAGGACATTCACAAAGTACTGCTTGGCAGGTTGGATATGCAGAAGGTTGATTTGCTTTTTACATACTGAGCAAAGAACTGTTGAAGATGACGATTTGGAAAACAGCTCTTCTGGGCATTCCAAGCAAACAATGTGCTCACAATGTGTTTCAGTAGGTCTGTTGAAGATTTTGCAGCAGTACTTGCAAATA